TATGACTATCAGGCTAAAAGGGTGGGTTTAAAATGCTGCTATGCTGAAAAGCTGTCGTTTTCCTCTGTTCATACCTCGAACGACTTATTCTATTGGTGTTCCTAATTGCTAATCCCCCATATATTTTATTAAAATCGCTTTTATATCTACCCAGCTAGGCTACCCATCTAACTTCTAAGATAACCTTATCGACAACTCGAAAGCAGTAGAGCGTCAAATAGAAAAGTCGTTCAAAAACAGCTGAATATGTTTTAGGGTAACGCCAACTCAAGCAAAGGTGATAAAATCATCATACTGTAACTCTGTCATTGAAAACGGTTCAGATATTTAGACCACGTTGCGATTAACTCTGACGCTTTCCAGGACTGTTAGATATTTTGTCAACCTCAGCAGATGTTCTGAGCTGAATACTTCTTAAAGAATGTGGATAGGTCGTTTCCATAGTGCTGCAGGGGGTGTCGCCAACAATATTTCAGCCAAATTAAAATGCACTTTGCGCACTTTCTTTGAGTTTCTCTAGGAGCTCCTGATTAAATGACTGGTTCAGATTGATGTGGGAAAGGGTAGGAAACTGGGAGGTCTGTAAGGTCATGATGCTGTGAAATTTATAAAATCAATATGTATATAAATTATCGATAATGCCCTGAGGGATTTTCCTGTTTAAACTCTTAGTTTTTTTTAGCTCAGGAACTACAGTTCCGGTCCCCCGTTATTTGGAGATAAATTATCTCTGGCACATAAATACCCAAAGGGTAGAGCTTGTCGTGCCCCTTAACTCAATGTCATTCTTCCAGATACGCGTTTATAAAAACGGGGACGAGCGCGATCCGGGTAAATTGATTACGATTACCCGTCGAGAGTTTAAGCATTGGGTAAGTCTTAAGAATTCAGAACCGACCATAATATATGTTCTTCTTGTTTCAGATTCTATTTCTTGATGCACTGACGCGAAAACTAGGCACAATCACGGCCATCAACAAGTTGTTTACCACAGGAGGAATTCGGGTAGAGCATGTAAGTTGCAAGGAATATATATTATTCGATATTGCTTGATTTTTAGTTTATTTAGTTTACCGACTTGGAGAACAATGGTGAATATGTAGCCGTCGAACGTG